GAGGAGACTTTTATTATGAAATAATTGGTCAAAGGGTTGCAAGTAAATTTATATTTATGATAACCTTATAAAAAGTGGCCGGCAAATATGAAAGTAAATTATTTAGGCTTCAAAAATATTTACAATTTGAGAATGCTTAAAACGTTTTATTCAAATGATGTAATATATAATTATTTAATTGTGCATTCTTTATTTCATTTACTATTTATATCAGAATTACTTACATCTAGAAAGCTAAATGAAATTTGCTTCTAGACCTAGTGTTAACATGAGACTTTTACAAGAATGAGCTCCAGCTCTGAGGATGTTCACGATAAATCTTCCCTCGTTTCGGGTAAAAACGGCTGAGCTTTCGTCCATCATATGAGCTGGAATTTATTCTTGTAAAAGTCTCAAGTTAACACTTGGTCAATAAGACTGTTCGAGTCTATCCTACCTCTTCTATGTATTAATAACTGAAAAACTAAAATCTCCAGATATCACACAAGGAATAAGGTTGAGTATAACCTTCATCTTTAGACTTCTTTACCTATCCATGAGTAGAATTTATTTCACCTTTGACATTAAATTTTATGAGCATACTCAAGGACTTTCGATGGAACCTGACAAATGGAGGCTTTGTAATAATTATGATTTGAGACCTTTATTGGGTATAGCCGTTGACATAAACACACCTGCTTGAGTAGAAGTAATATGGCCATTAGGAAAGAGCAATAGCCAAATCATTTTTTATATATCTATGTTTCTATAAATTCGTTTATAGTTTTGAGTAGATGCAGGACGTAAATAGATCCGGACAGACTTCTTGACCTGGTGATAACTTGAGACTTTTACAAGAATGAGTTCCAGCTATGATGACATCTATCACATGATGGGCGTAAGCTCGGCCCGTTTTCACCAAAAACAAGGGAGGATGTTTTGTGGACTGCGTAAACCTCAACGTCGTACTAAAGCCAGGAGGTTGTAGTACAATGGGAATCAGCCGTCGTATTCTGATGAGACCGACCTTTGAATCTCTGCAACATACACGTTCATATTAAATGAAACTCTCGCCAACAATAGTAACCTTACTATCACAAAAATGTGTGCATATGTGGTTTTTACGGAAGCCTTGATTCCTGTTTGAACAGTGAGTCTAAGAAAGTTGTACATAGAAGCCTGATATTAGACTTAATTGTCTCTAAGTTAAGGGGAAGCTGATTCTGATTAAAACGACGGCAGCCAACCAAGAAATTTTAAACCGGCAAAGCTTGGTTCAGATGACGGTTCTTCCCATTACATCTCTTCACAGTGGCTTGGTTCGAAAATGACCTCTGCCTTGATTGATGGCATACCTTATCCAGTACTGAATTGGACCCATTACGAATGCAATGGGATGGGGGACAATAAAATGTGAGAAAAAGGTATAACTGCAAGGGCACTCAAGCTCGAGAGTTGCCCCTTTAGAAGGACCATAGTGAAGAAGACTTAGGCGATAGCATGAGTCATTATGTCAATTGCTAAATCGAAACTCGGGAGCAGCCGTCACTCGGAGAATCTTTGGAATGATGTTTAAAGCCTAATCCAATTGACTCTAGTTAAAGCTAATGCAAAAAGCGGAACATAGGAGATTCCATGTGAAAGTATGTACGCATGTGTGTGTATGTTTTTTTTGAGAAGAAAGATGGCACGGCTAAAATGAAAAAAAGTAAGAATCTGATATAATAAACTATACATATTCATGATAATTTCCAAAGTCGGACCGTGGACGGGGTACATTCCCAGACATTTCGCCGGCACCGTAGTCGGCATTGTCAGTGAGTCTCGCTATTCGTAGCACCATAGTACAGCTCGTCAAAGAGACAAGTGAAGCCCATCCTTTATCAAACGTATGCTAAACAGTTGTAGTATCTCCCACAATTTTTACCATGCATGATAGAAGGGCAGAAGGGGAGATACCACAACTGTTTAGCACACGTTTGTTCAAAGGAGGAGCTTCACTCGTCACTTTGACGAGCTGTATTATGGTGCCACGAATGGCGAGACTCACTGACGATGCCGACTACGATGCCGGAGAAAGTCTGGGAATGTACCCCGTCCACGGTCCTACTCTGGAAATAATGATTCATACAATGGACTCCGGAAAAGGTGCGTTCCTCTAAGTCTTCCTACCAATATGACCAAGTTGCAAAAACAAGGTTAAACAACTTCGATACAACGAAAGGAGACTGCGACCACACAAAAGACCACACCATCTTGGTCTTCATACCTTCAAATATACATATTTTTTTCGCCCGAATCACCTCTGTTCCTCCTCTTCATTTCTCTACCCTTAAAGTCATTCTCAGACTTTTCCCTCGAGTCCCACGGAAAATGTGATTATGACTACGTGGAGATATACGACAGGTCGGCAGAGAAGGATCAGATGCTAG